GGTGTTATTCAGTTATCCTGTCATCTGTTCACAGAAACCTCAGATCTCCAAAGCATAGTCCTATCTGTCTACCCATCCCTGAGCCTTGGAGAAAAAGGCCTCTGGGCTGAGTAGATGAGGGATAAAATCAGGACTAGAATCTGAGCCTCAGGCTTCCACACTAGTGCCCTCTTTGTGACACCTTGATGCACAGATCTCACCTCTTCAGCATCTCTGGATCTGCGAGGAAAAACCTGAAGATCCCAGGTGCCTCTTTCATCCTCCTCTTATAAGTCAAAATGCCACTTGCACAGGATGAGCTCAAGTGTAGTCCTTTCTTGTGCTGAGCACTGCTTGGATGGCCATAGGTCTTGTCACCTAACCCCTTAGATTTTAAGTCATGTGTGTGTGTGTGTGTGTGTGTGTGTGTGTGTGTGTGTGTGTGTGTGCTTTTTTGCTTGTGGCTGGCACTTTACCACTTGAGCTATGCCTGCATTTTTTTTCTTTGTACTTTTCTAGTTAGAGATACATGCTTATTATGTCTGTCTGAGCTGACTTTGAACTGTGATCATCAGAGCTCAGCCTCTTTAGTAGCATGGATTACAGGTATGAGCCACCGGCACCCAGCTGGAGTTTAAGTTATTTGGACAATGAAGCATCAGGAATGAGAACATCCAATATTACAGGAATTTTGTATAAAATAACTAGGGTGATGTCTGTGTACACAAAGTTCTTGATACTTACTGGGTTCTCAGCAGTAGGAGTTCATACTTCTGTCCTTTGTCTATTGAAGAGTCATGACCCATGTCCACGGTCCAGGGTTAACCTCCCTTTCCAGTGACCTGCTAGCATGCTGACAAAATTAGGGCACATATTTTGGGGTCAGTACTGGGACTTGACCTCAAAGCAACCCATATTCTCCCTTGGATTTTTTACTCCAGGCTAACATACTGCTTGAGCCAAACCTCCACTTCAACCTTTCTGGTAGTTAATTAGGCATAAGAGTCTCAAGGATTTTCCTTCAAACTTCTCCTCAGATCTCAGCCTCCTAATTAGCCAGGATTATAGGTGTGAGTCACCAGCATCCAACTGGGCTTTTATTTCTATAGAGTGGCCAATCTGAATCAAGAATCACAGAGCAGGTCTGTGGGTTTCAATCTAGATTCAAAGTAGCTTTGAGGTCCCAGCTGTGGTTCAAGGGCAGGGACATCGGTGGTCAGGGCTTCAGGCCACTATCATCCACTTCAACAAAAGTGGCATTGCTTAGATGTTATTTATAAGCTGAGCTTTAGAGTACAGTTTCATTTAAGAATGAGATAGAAAATTGGAAACTTCTGTAGCAAAATAATAGAGTTTAATATTTGAGCCTTGCATCTCAAATAAGGATGAGGTCATATTCTTCCCTCCTGCTCCCTTTCCTTTTTGGGGGGCATTAACTGGGGATCAAACCCAAGATGCACTTGCTAGGCAAGCACTTTGCCATTAAGCTACATCCCAGCCCCCTCCTGCTCTTCTTCATGGCTAAAGCTCAGCTTGTAGCCAGCTCCCTGCCTCCATCTCAACATAGAGACGAGTCACAGAGTGAGCTGTTGTTTTCCCTGCTTACCAGGGCCTGGAGTTCTCTCAGCATCTTGCAGAAAAAGGAAGAAGCTACTGCTGGCTCAAGTGTGGTGTTGGCCAATACCAGTTAGAGGCAGAGGAGGGAAGTGACTTGGGCCTGAGGTGACCGGATGGGGACAGAGAAAAGGGCTGAAGACAAGTCAGTCACTGTAGGAAGGAAAAAAGAAAACTTCAAGTTTCTCTCTTCTGCTTTTCTGACACTACCAAAATGGAAAATACTGACTTTGGAATCACAAGGGTTAAATCAGCCTTTAACTCCTCAAGCCTTTGCTTTCTCTCCTGAGAACAATAGTGCTCTCTCAGAATTAGTATGAGGGTGTATCACATGTGTGTTGTATATATGTGTAGGTGTGTGTCTAAACAAGACTCTGGAGATATTGTATGGGAAACTATCGGTGCCTACTAGCTACTCAACATCATTCCTTCCCCATCCAGCTATCCTATTTTCCAGATCATACATTGGAATATTGGGTTGTAGTAAGAATTGAACACAATGATAGATTCCTAGTGCAACTCCTGCTGTACAGTAGGTTTTTAATAAATGCCATTTTTGGCACACATTTCCCTCCTTTCTGCATATCACGTTTGTATCCGTTGCTATCCTGATTGTTTTGTGCCTGGGTTACTGAGTCAGCTTCCATAGTGCAGTGACCTGTCTCAGACCCCTAAGTATCTCTAGGCACAAGCCTTTTCTCTACCCATAATCTAAATGAACAGAACAAGACAACATGGAAAAGTAAAACTAACAAAAAGTTACCCAGTTCCAACATGGTCTGACTTAATTTTCCACACCAACCCATGAGGTCCATATTAATTATCCTCTTTCCCCTTATAATGATGATCTCAAGGCTTGGAGTAACAAGCAGCTAGTTCCCGAAGACCCCTCAGCCTTCTCATATGGCAACAGAAGTTCGAGAATGTATCAAGCCTATCTTCATTCAAAGAATCTTCCCCAGCATCACCTTGCTTCTTGGAGTGGTCAGACAAGTCACCAAGTGCCCTGGATTCTAACTGCAGCTCATCCAGTGATGAGTCAATATTCATAGCATATAAGCCTGCTTTCTCCTTTGAAAATGAAAGGAGTCCCTTCCCAAACTCTCCCACATAGCAGCACCTAGGATTCAGGGCAAGTCCCAAGTGGGCCAAATGCTCTAAGAGTCCTCTCAACCTTGGCCCAAGTTGCAACCTTTACCTCAACCTCCTTCCTTATTCTTCCTATCTTCTTTGTTAAAAAAAAAAAGAGTTCTAAGAGTCTATTCACTGATCACACAAATACTTCAGAAAGCCTTCCTAGATGATCCCAGGCAGGATTAACACTTCCTAGCTTCCATCACACTGTACAAAAACTGTACTACCTATATTCTCCTTCTGTGGGGTGCATTTGGTTATAGGACTGTCTTCTAGGAGACAGGGGGGTAGCTCTCATCTGCTTCATGTATTCTGGATGATCACAAGAGTTGCTCAGGTAATATTTATGGAATAAATGCATTAGTGATTGACTGAAAAGAGAGACAGCTGGGGAAGGGAGGAGGGAGTAAGTAAGATCATTAGTGAATGAGTTCAGAGTTTCCTGAGGTTCCAACTTCACAGTCTATGACGTAGGTCCAAGCCATCCTCACGTAGCTTCCATTGCTGACTTTATTCTTCCATGAGGATCACTGGCCCTGTGTGCATTAATTTAGTTTTTCTGGCTATGACCCAAATGCTTGAGAAAACAATTGAAGGGAGGAAAGATTTATTTTGGCTCAGTTTTAGAGGGTTCAATTCATGATCACTTGGTTCCATGTTTCTGGGCCCATTTGTGATGGAGAACATGACAGTGGCAAAGAATGTGAAAGAAGAGGAGGAGGAGGCAATGGTGGCTGCTTACCTTATGACAGATAGGAAGCAGACATCAAGGAGAGGATGGACAGGGAACCAAATACAACCTTCAACGTCATACCCCCAGTGGCCAACTTCCTTCAACTAGGCTCCATGTTTCCAGAACTTCCCCCCAAATAACACCACCAGCTAAAGATCATGCATTTAGTTCATGAGCAAGTGTAGGACATTTCATATGCAAGCTATAATAGGGCCCATATTTAAAGGATTCCATCCATACCCCCATGTGAGCCTCACCTCACCCTGGGATTTAGCCTTGGGATTTGGTCTCAATCTCTGCCGACATGGGACCTTTATTGCTTTGCCATCCTTCTCCAGGGTAACAGATTTTACTCCTTTCCCCAACTCCTGGCCTCCTCCTCCTCCTCCCACTTCTGTCCTAGCTGATGTCTGGGTTGCTTGCTGCCCATTGATGGGCCTCTCACATTGGAATTACCAACTCAGCTTCCCATCTCTGCATCCTACCCCGCTGCTGTCAAAGCTGCATCCTCTCACACCTGGCTTCACCTGACATCAGGATCCCCTACTGTCAGCTCCAACCTCAGAGCAGACACACTATCACATACCCAGCACTCAGGGCAGTCCCAGACTAGTGTCATCCCTTCTGCCTATCAGTGAGAATCTGGTCACCCCTAGGCAACTTCTGACGTAAGAAAGCAGAAAGGAGCAGGACTTGAGGTCCCATAGGCAAACACAAATTGTGGGAGTCCCAGGGGGACCAGACCATGGAAAATTAAAGATTACATCAGGTATATCCCGTACAATTCCTGGGACCTGGTGATACCCTCCATAAACACGAACCCTTTTCCGCAACGCTGTGACTGTGGTCACTAATGCTGCCATGAATGCGATTGCCATGAAGAAGAGGTGGATTGTATCCCAGGTACCTCTCCTGTTTTGCTTCTTATTCTCCAACTCCCCATTAATATTCTGAAGACCAACTCAGGGAGGCTGTGGCAACACACCAGGCTTAAAATTAATCAAGTTTCCTGTCAGTCCAAATGAACTTTTCTCACTGATTCTCAGATCTTCTGCATCTTCCTCTGGATGTATTTTTCCCACATAATGAAGTTTGGATAGCACTGGCTGGCCACTGCTGCCGACTCCTGCCTGGTCCCCGGGTGTGACCTCTGCACAGTCACAGCTCTTCTCAGGCACTGTGTGCGATTACCCTCCCCCCGCCGCATCTAGCGGCCTTCTCATCCAGGGGCATACAGCCCAGCAGATTAACATGATGCCCTTGTAATTCTGTCTCCAAGACACATGTCATTTTCCTTCAACACATTTGGAAGTAGGGCAAGTTCTACTTTGTAAGGACCGTCACTTATTTTGAACTGGAAGAAAATAATTTATTTGGTTCCAAGTTGTTGTGTGTTTCCATTAAGGGCACATATTTCTCTTTCATAATGGGATCTCCACACAGCCCAGTCTCCAAGGTCATGCCAGTAGAGAGCTTCCTTCATCAGTTTGTTTCAATGAGTAAATTCAGCAACTAAAACACTGGGTTCCAAAGGCCACAACGCTGTGTTTGCTTCTGCAGTGTATTTACATTAACTATACAGAGAAGATTAGCAGGGCATCATTGCAAGGATGTTTTGAAAATGCACAAAAGGTTCCATATTTTTAGCCATCTTCTCATTACAAGAGATCAGAATATCAAGCTCAATACAAAAAAAACTAGCCACACTATTGTTTGAGGCTGAAGAAGGTGGATTAACAGGCGTTTCCCATCTTGGTGTTTCTGTCAGAACCATAGAATGTGCCTTGACTGAGCAGAAATCCGTTTGTAATCTTCCTCCTCTGAAGAGACATGTCTCAGAAGCTCCTTCTGAGTTCTGGTGCTCTATGCAGAAGCTCTGCTGGAGTTGGCATTGCCATCTGCTATCCCACTGGGAGGGTTTTACAGCATTGTGTTCTAGTTGGGCTGCCAAGGCCTGGGATTCCCCAACTCAAGAATCCCTCATAGAGGTTGAGATAGGATCGAGGGTAAACTAGAAATGTTACCACTTGAGTGGAAGTGCAGAATCTCAGGTCCTGGGTGCTGTTGTCTCCAGGGCTACCTAAAATGTTCCAGCTGCCTTCCACTTCTCAGTGACCATCTGTAATAGATGCTAAATTCTTGGGTGACCGTCTGATTACATCACCAGGCTGTATACACGGTGGTCCTGGGCCCCCACAAAAGGCTGCTTCAGATGTTCAGGCATTGTTGATAGAACTCAAAGAAAAGAGGTTGCTCAGAGTCACACCAGTTATTGACAAGAAAACCTGGATGGGAATCTATGACTTTCTACTCTGCCTTTCTGCAATATTATTGCCTGGAAGACAAACTCAGTGGGGACTAAAGTATCTGCTTTCCCCAAAGTAGAGAACACTGCAGGCTACTGCCAAATCCCTGCCATCTGCTCACAAAGCACTTCTCCAGATGCCAAGCATCCCACCAGGTGGCCTCAGATCTCAAAGTATTCCTGATCTCACTTGCACTTAAATAAATAAATTTATTTATATAATATATAATATTATAGATAGTATATTAAATATATTATCTAATATATATATATATATATTTCTAGCCCCCCCCCCCACCAATTCCCATACTAGACAGACTCTTCAGGAAGTTCACTCAAAAGTCTAGTAAGCAGGGATGAAAAGGGAAGTCACTAAGATAATAGGAGGCTTACATCTGAGAGAGAGAGAGAGAGAGAGAGAAAGAGAGAAAGAGAGAGAGAGAGAGAGAGAGAGAGAGAGAGAATCATGATGCACACCTCCTGGCTGGCCTGGGGTTTGCATTTGTATTTAATAACAACTTTGATCTCTCTGCCAGCAGCAGCGGTCATTGAGAAATCCTGACATAAAGAAGGTATCTGCGAGATAAAGTTCTGCAAGCGATGATTACTAGCACTTAAGTTCTCTTTTTGTTGAAAGGAAGAATCCCAGATTGAACAGTGCATTGAATGATATGACAAGCAAGTACTTGATCCCTGTCCAGCTGGAGGGGGGATTGTACCCATCAGCAGCTTTTTAGCTAAGGACGTCTTTATATTTCCCTCCTTTGTCTGGGCCTCTCTAGTTCCTCCTTTTACTTCATGTCAGCACTATATAGTAGGTATGCCAAGTGGTTTTGAAATTTAAATTACAGTCTCTTTTTCAGATGTTATTGGAAAGAACATGTAATTTATAACCACGTGTTAGGCGTACAGGATGTTCGTGGTCCACTGCCAATTTTTCTTTTGTAAAGTTAATAAAACTTTCATAAAACACTTATACACTTGTATATTTCATGGTAAAGATTTTTTTTATCTCATAGGCTAATGTAAAGATTTATTAAAACCATTTTTTTGTTAAGAGGAGTGTCAATAGTTTGCAGCTGAGTGTAATTTTGAATCCGTGGAAGATGACGGTCTGATGGGAAATGACAGTAACAGCTTTGTTGATTTAGCACTAAAAATAAAGGAGCCTTTCAAAGGAGAGAATGCTCTAATATCCAGAGTGGGTAGGACGCACTCAGGCCAATGGAGGCGAGCTGGAGGAGCCGGCCACCAGCACTCCAGCCCCTGGCAAGAGCAGAGCTGGACTGGATGGAGCCCAGGTGGGAGGGACTGGGAGCCTCAGGGGGCCAGCAGGAAGGAAGGCTCTACTAGTGGAAAGGGAGGAGCCAGGAGGATTGTCAGAGGCCTGCAATTACTCCTGGTGGCAGAAAAATCCCAGCTCAGCCTGCTGCTAACCTGCTCTTTCTGTACCCAGTTTTTCCTGCATGTGTTGAACTCCTACCTTGCAAGCTTCCCTTGCCCCAGCCCTCTTCCTGTTGCCCCAACCAATCCACAGCTACCTCAAAGGGATCCCTACGGAAAGTACTGAAAGATCATGTCAAGGAACCACACTTCATTTTTCTTTCACTTGACTCTTATGCATTTGTAACCCTGGCATCATCCTTCTATAGTCTCTAGCTTTCTCCTTCCTTCTTTCCTTCCTCCTCCCTTTCTTTCTTTCCTACTTTCCATCTTTCTTTCTTTCTTTCTTTCTTTCCTTCTTTCTTTCTTTCTTTCTTTCTTTCTTTCTTTCTTTCTTTCTTTCTTTCTTTCTTTCTTTCTTTCTTTCTTTCTTTCTTTCTTTCTTTCTTTCTTTCTCTTTCTTTCTGTAACTGTTTCTTCTACTAGACCCTTTTGCAACCTCTTCCTTCACTGCTTTCTCTGGCTAACTCTTTCTCAGAGTTGCAAATGTCTCTTCAGAGTTTGCCTAGCCCTCTGGCCAGGTCAAACCATCTATCTATGTGGGTTCAAATCATCCTCTGCTTTCCCATACTTCTCACATTTATGATCCATTGTTGGTAAAATTGTCCATTCAGTCTCCATGTTTCCTACTAGACTATAAGCTTAGAAAGGAGGAGTCACATCTGTCTCTATCATCGCTGTATCTTTCATGCTCAGCATGGCACAGGATTGATCCAGCAGCTTCAACTATGTATATCTCACACCTTCCAGACAAAATCCCCAAATTTCACTCCTTCCAGACAAAATCCCAAATATGTAACCTCCTGACTTCACACACTGATCCAATTTGTAATTATGTCCTGTCACCTTACAAGTATCACTGAAGCCAGCTAATGGAGATTTTGGTGACAGCTGTTCCCTTTGGAGTTCTGAAGGTGATGGAATCTGGAGGTGGGATCTGGAGGGGAAGGTGGCTTACAGCCTTCCCTGCTTCCACATCTCAATGACTTTGAAGACAGTGCACCTCCCCAGCAGCACTCATAGTACAGCTAGGTTGCTGTCCTGAAAGGAGGATCAGCCAACAACTCCTGGGGCATGCTTCTGTCACAGAGACATGCTCCCAGGGCTAGAAGATCTATCCCCATCCATCCACCTAGCGTGTGTCAGTTTAACACAAGGGTTGAGCTCCAGTTCTGCAGTCAGCTGGAGAGGCTCAGCTTATCAACTTTGTCATCTTGGGAAAATTACTCAGCATCTCCACGTCTCCATTATTGTTATAAGCAGGCCAGGTTTTCAGACCCATGCAGCTGGCATAGCTTCATGGTTAGAGGCCCCTGTGCTTGGTTTACCACTCTCCTCTTACTGTCTCTAAATTCTCAGTGATTATTCATAACAAGCAGTCCTATATTCTCATTTTGCACTGACCTTTGCAAATGATGTCACTGATCTTTATTTTAAAAGAATAGTATTGATTATAAGAGTACATACTCAAGGTGAAGAACAGTGAGATAAGGCAGGTCTATAGCTGCCTTAAGAGCCTGTATTAAGAGAACTTATTATTGTGTCCTGGGTTACCTACTGTGTACTCACTGTCTCTCCAGCTTTCTGGCAGGTTTTTGAATTATTTTCTTTATTCACAACAGCTGGCAGAATAGCACAGAAATCACATGATTTTCTGGACCTAACCTTTCTTGCATAATCTCATATATCCTTTAATGGAAGGAGGGGCCAAGAAAAGCAAGGGGGTCTTTTTAATCATGGGAAATTTGAGGAACCAAAGAGGTCTAGCAAGTATCCACAGAGCCAGACTTTGATAGAGGGTCTCTGAAATGCAGCCCAGTGCTCATTTTTTCCTGCCACAATATGTTGTCTCTATTGAACGATTCTCCTTCCCCAAACACAGAGTACAACAATCCCATTGAATACATTGCCAATGATAAACTATGTATGGACAAATAACAACAGTGACAAAACGGCGCACAGAGACAAGGCAGTCTGTGTCTGAGAAGAAAGAGAAAAATAAATGAAATTAACAGTGGGAGACAAAAACAGAGGAAAACCCAGCAATTAGATTAATCATAGACTTCCAGGAAATTGGCCCAAATTTCTTTAAAATCTTGTTGATTGTTATTCAGATTGAAGGGTTCCCTGCAAGATTAGCCAGAGCCCACCACGCTTGCATACCAATCTATATCACTCACACACACACACACACACACACACACACACACACACACACACACACACACACTCACACACACACATACATGCGGGGAGGGGCAGGGGGGGACTGCTCTGATCATGGGGCTGTGTTCACCTGTGTAGGCATGAGGTCTAGTAGTCAGAGTCCAGGCATGAGGGTCAGAAGTTAGAATTTCTAGTCTAGGCTTTCTGGTTCATTCACTTTGGGAATCGGAACAAATCACCTAATTTGCTAGGCCTCAGTTTGCTCATCTGAGGGATAGGCAATTCTGTCTGCCTTTATTAAACCAATGTGTTTTGAGAGACTGAAGAGAGAATGTGTATGTGGAAATCCTTGGACCGGCTGAAAGTGCTATCTAAACATAGCATAGCTTTGGAGTCTTTTCAGAAAGAAGATAAGATTTTGCCCCAGGTGTAAATATGAGTCCTCCAAGCACTGGTGTGGGAAAAATAATGCAGTTTGGTACTAGACCTAGTCTGTTGTTACAAAAAAAAATGTTCCAAAGCCTTTAGATTTGTAAAATCTTCAGTACATCTTGACCCAAATATTTCTCCCTCTTTTATGATCTGCTTTTAAAGTAAAATTGAATGACCTATCTCTGGATTTATTAATGCTTTAATCATTAGTGTATTGGCTCCAGAATACTCTGGAGTTGCCAGGGCAATGTCAGAGCGCGCAAATGCCTGGAAGTAGCTCTTCACCAAGGGTGAAATAA